AATCACTCGCGCAATAAAATAATCATTTCATGTAGAGTCGCCCTTCGATTGCATGCAGCTGAAGGAAGGGCTCGTCACATCCAAAACGATGGCAAACCACACGCAACAAGAGAACACACAATGTTTTTCCTCTACGAGCATTTCATGTGTACACTTTCAGAGAGCTAACGCCCATGCCACAGCACACAACAACGAAGCTACACCAGCGTAAGAACCCCTTGCGACATGGCTGTAAGAACCACTTAGGAAGGGAAAATCACTTTTATCGGAAGGCCACTCAAGCAAAGGCGAAGGCGCAGCCTGCGTCGCCGACGGCGGCGCCCCCACCGGAGACGCCGCGGTTTGATTGCTCTCCACGTTCACGTGAAGCTTCATCCCTCCCAAGCAATGCAGTGTAACTCCGCACACGAAGTACCTCTCGCCAGGCGAGGTGAGGGGGACCGTCGTGTTCCCGTTACTGCCCGTCAGTCGAGGGGTGGCGAAGTTGCAGCTCTCGTAGCCGGCGCTATCGACCTCGTTCACGGTGTGGTAGGTCGAGTACTCGAACACTGTCACTGTATCCATCAGCGATCGACCAGCCTATGCATTCATGCAACTAATACAAAAGAAGACGTAGAATACTGAACGTACTCAGTGCATCTCCTACGTAGAAGACCTTGTTAGCAACCCAGGAAGCAAGGTCTGCGCTGATGTCCCAACCGGCGCTGTCCCCGACGGTGAAGACGGTGGCTTCAGCCGATAGCCCGAGGCTGAGAACGATGAGCGCAAGCATCTTCAGGAGCTTAGCCATGAGGCGATGAATGATCACCGAGAAGAAGATAAGAGTTCGGGATATAAATTGGTGATCTCTGCAATATAGTTTTAGTTAGCCTAACTCTTTACCCACTGGTTTTGCTTGTGCAGGAAGTCTCATGTTGAGTGGTGGAATGAATCAGGTGTTGCGAATTTGGATGGGAGGATTCAAAGACTAGGAAGAGGAGGCCTGTTAAAGGTTGGTGGGGGGCGTTCAGGTAGGTCGTCCGCATCGGACAAATCAAGATGTTGTTGGCCCAAGAAAATGATCCCCTGCAACTGTCAATGCCAAGAAGCTTCTCTAACACTAACGTAACTTTAGATCCCTGATCTTGGGATTGTCCATAATATTTTATTATGAAGGATGGCTTCTTAGTTCATCTTTTACTCATTATTTGAGATCCACCTACGAGACGAAGCAGTAGATGAAGATGATACTTAACACTGCCAAAGAATGGGTGATGAACCAGTAGGTAACCTAATGGAAGAACTCCATTGCTGTTGGTTGACCTTAGCAGACTGTTCTTGGATGCATGACGTAAGACTTACTTCCATCATCATCTTACACTAATCTTATTATTCCCATGCAGATTAACTCAACCGCTCAAAGCCTCACAAGAAATAACCCAAATGACGTAACCCAACAGTCCATATATTGAAAGCACTGCCTCTCGTCGAGCCCGCAAGAACAAGTCCCAGCAGCAGGAGAGCGTTCCCGCTGTGGAAGCCCCTGCTCCTCCCCCCGCTGGATTTAGTAGATGACTCCGTCGTCGGATCGGAAGCCGGTAGGCCCGAAGGCGTTGACGGGGGAGAACCGGCCGGCGTCGAGCTGCTCGCACCGTCGACGGTCACCGCCAGCTTCATCCCACTGGAGCAGTGCCCGGGTGTGCCGCAGATGAAGTATCTGCTCCCGGGCCTGGTGAGGGTAATCTTGGTGCTCTGATCCGTGTATGTCTGGATGGAGTTGCTGGCCGAGCAGGCTTTGTAGTCAGCTTCTCCAACCTCGGCCAGAGTGTGAAGACCATTGTACTGGAAGACTGACAAAAATTGTGCTAGTATCCTTTCTGGCTACTGCCTGTACACATCAAAGGATTCATTGGCAAACGTATGCTCGTTTTACTGGCCAACCTACGTTAGATTTCACATGATACTTCATATTTTACATTGAATGATGCTTACAGAGAGTTTCGTCGACGTTGAAGGTTTTGCCGGAAGCCCATGCGGTGTAGTCCACCCCACTTACCCATCCTTGCAAGTCGCCCACTGTGTAGTCGGTGGCGGAGGCGGCCGGAGCAGCTGCTACAAGGAGGACCAGAAGAGCTACCACACCAGCCATGTATGCTTGTTCAAGAAACCTTATCTAGTGTTCAACAGCCCAAAGCAAAGGATTGAAGCAACGAGAGAGAAACAATCCATGTTCGTGTTATATAGGCAGTTTGGTTGCAGAAATTAGTACTCTTTGAAATCAGCCTGCTAATATGGTAATTTACATTGCACTACCAACTCCCTGTCTTTGGTATACCTACTGCACTGGGGAATCATGGAGCTCCCCTGCTCCTCGCACTCTTGCCTACCTAATTCCTGGGATAAGTTTCTTGGCTCTGCTCATCACAAGGTTAACTTACCTGCATGTGGCTTGATGCATTGCTCGTTGCAAAGTGCATCACCCGAATCTGTTTCTCATCTTCTGCAGCTTTAGGTGATTGAACAAGGAGCACATCAATTAATTATTAGTTTCCAGTCTGATGATGCATCTTTCTAGCTGCAGGATTTAATATCCTTATCCAACTCCAAGAGAGGTAGTGAGAATGACTCTGCAGCTGCTGCTTTGATTTGTTCAAACTTGAACACCTAACCCTTGTAAAATTTAGAATGAGACTGCAGAGAAAAATATACTCAACTGATCCTATTTCACAAAGACAAACTTGTGCCATGAAAATTAACTTGAACAAACAACTGTGAGAGGCTACAGAGATCAAATTTTGGCGGTGGCATGTTCAAACTTTCCATAAACACTCCAAAAGGTCGAATTCTTCTTCTCCCTTCTTCAAGCATATGTGTCTTCTGTGATCTCCTTTAATCCTTAATAAAAGTTGCAGATGAACTGCTTCACTATTCACTAATTGTATCCAACATTGTCTGAGTCAACATGTGATGGAAGCAGCTGGAGCATGAGAGATTCTTGATGTCCTTGAGTCAACTATATAGTACAGCTTGCCAACACAGTCAGATGTGCATCAATGATGGATGTGGCATGTGGAGAAAGAGCTGTGATTCTTCTCGTCCCTCGTCTTCAACAAGTTCAGAAGATGAAATGTGGCCTAAAGATAATGTTTTACTGAAAAAGATGCAAGGAGTGGATCCCAAACTTTACTTCTGGTTATTGTTGTACAGTCAAATGGTACTACTACAACGACCAACAATGCTTGTTTTGCTCACCTTCGTTGAAGAAGAGCTGCTTACTAGATCGGAGGACAGTGACTGATCACTTCATCCTCACATTGTTGCAGGAGAAGGCAGTAGCTTCTTGGTTTGATGAGGTGAAGGTGCAGACCAGCATCGAGGCCCACCACTTGCACTCCACAGGCTCTTTTTCTTGGTCTAAAGGAGGAAGGAATCATCACAGAGACCCAGGTCCGGTGGCCCCACCTTGTCCTAATTCCAACTTCCAACACCAAAAAGCAACGCCAAGCGCTTCTCCAAAAGAAAGGAATTAGGCTGAACGGGAGGATCCCCATGCCTTACAATACTAGAAAGAAATCGCCCTCTCTAGATCTAAAGCTAATCATTCTAATCACCACCCACAGCCCAGATCCAACCTAGGTGTTTGAGCCTTTTTCTTTTAGACATGTCACATGCTCTTCCCTCTTCCTTCATCATCATCATCATCACCACCATCACAGAGTTGTTGGATAGATAGATCGGTAATGTGATCATGTATCAGCACCAACAGTGGACATGACCATGTTCTTGCGGGTGTTTCGTATCTTGAGTCGAGAGACAATCACAGAAGCAAGGCAACAAAGATCAGTCTCTGGTCAAATTGACCATCAATTATTGTGAACCACTGGTGGCATATGTTGGGAAAAAAAAGGTCCGGCACGAATTCCCAAGCTTTGTTTGACCACTCCAATGTAGGATGCTAAATGTCTGTTGATTTATCGATTAGATTTCGCGGATGATGTTTTAATTTTATTAATATCTCTATTCTTTTTTTATTTTATTTTATTTTTTTGTCAACCATGCATCGATGTATTGACCATCATATGTATATGGATTCTCCCGGTTGATCAAGATCCGATCACGCCGACAGCAAGCAGAAGATGAGGCGACGACCGTTCGATGATCGATCGACGGCGATTAGGCGCGCTCGATTAATGCAATGGAACCAAACCCTTGCGTCCACGGCACCGGCCTGGGCGCCAGCGTTTTCTACCCTCGTCACGGATACGACGAAGGATGCAACTCGCAAGGTGGGGCCCACTCTAATGGCCTTCTGCAGAACGGGTACGAGAGCGTGAAATAGATAAATAAATGAAATGGTGGTCGATAAAGTTAAAGCGGAGGGGAAAAAAGAGAATTCCGTTGCTTCTCTTTTCAGTTCTTGCACACTCACTGCTGCTGCTGCTGCTGCTGCCACACACACACATACTCTCTCTCTCTCTCTCTCGTGCCCTTCCCTCTTCCTTCCCACTGCGAAGCGACCAGAGAGAGGAAGTGGAAGAGAAAAGAACAGAGGAAGCGGAGGAGGGGATAGGAACCCTAAGATCGAGCTCGAGAGACCCTCTCGTGGATATTCCATCGGGCTGGCCGTCGCTCCTCTTGATAGTGGGTGCGCATCCCGCTTTGCTGTCGCTTTGTTGGGAAATCTCCGATTCCTGATGTCGATTGCTAAATTTCCTTTTTCTCTCTTGTTTCGGTTTCCAAAGATCGAAATGTGCGAGCGAAGACTTGGTTCTACAATTGTTTTGATTTCAATTTTGTTTCGATTTCTTGCTGTTCTCGAATAGAAAATGGGAATGGGGAGATTTGGAAGGTTTTATTGAATGCTTGTTTTGGATTTGGATTTTCGTTTCCCGGCCATTAATTGATCTTTTGTGCAAAGTAGAGTCATGATCTGCAAGAATAGTCCTTCTTGTGAGTTCTTTTCTGTACTGTTTTGATTTGGTGATGGAGATTTAACAGCTCTTGATATTCGAATGAGTGGGTCTTAGGTCCGTGGAAAGAAGAGAAAGAAGAGTGTTCTGCCCAGCTTTAAAGTTCAGCAACGCCTGCTCTATTAATTGTAGCGTCAGAAAGGGTTTGTGCAATGTTGAGACTACAGAGGCTGATACACGTTCTTGACGTGATTTGGGAGAAAATGAGGAACGGAACTTGACAGTGAAATCTACTGCATTTGGATTGTTTTTTATTTAAGGATTGGCGGAGCCATAGGTGATGTTAAAGTTCCACATAAGATGGATGCGATTTGTGAGTTAAAAATGTCGACCTCGCAGCATCCTTCTGCTGATAAGGGCTTGGGTGGGCACGAAAGCGGCTCGACAAAAGAACAGAGTCCATCTGCTGTTTGGAAATCTCAAAATTCTAATGCAACTGTGCTCGAAGAAGCACTGAAAGGGAAAAGTGCATTAGAAGAGCAGAATGAATTAGCACCTGATGTTGATAGCTTCAGGAGCATGGACTCCTTTGAAGAATCCAGGGGAAGTTCTTTCAATGGGGCTAGTCATCCTCCGGAACCCATGGACACTGATCTTGTGAAGACGGTATATGTGGCAATAGATCAAGAAAAGTCTAATGCAGGGTGCTTGATGAGAGGGCTCTCTGTAAAAGGTCCTTTTATAGAAGATCTCTCTATTCGGGTTCCTGTGACGAAACCAAATGCTGCTCTTCTATCACCAGATGGAACCTCTCCCGACGAACCGAATGAGTCAGGTGCCGTGTCTTCTCCTTTTTCTGTTCCACATGCATTACAGTCAATGGAAACAACATTTTTACCACCAGATTCCGAAGAAAAAGAGTGTGTTTGGGATGCTTCCCTTCCCCCGAGTGGAAATGTCAGTCCTCACAGCAGCATTGACAGCTCCTGTGTGGCCACCGCAATGAGTGTCGTGAACAGTTGCACAAACACATACAGAAGTGATGGGATGACCAGCGATGGTATGCTTAGTTTGGAAAGGGCCTGCGAGAGCACAAAGGGAAGTGTTATAGGGGACTCACTTGGAAGTGCTAAAACGAGCATCAGTAGAGCGAGTGACAGCAGTGGTCTCAGTGATGACAGCAGCTGGAGTAATATCACTGGAAGTGCTAATAAGCCTCATAAGGGAAATGATCCTAGATGGAAGGCGATTCTTGCAGTTCGATCTCGCGATGGTATACTGGGTATGAGCCACTTCCGACTGCTCAAAAGGCTTGGATGTGGTGATATTGGTAGTGTTTATCTGTCAGAATTGAGCAGTACAAGGTGCTACTTTGCTATGAAGGTGATGGATAAGGCATCTCTAGCAAGCAGGAAGAAGCTGACAAGGGCTCAGACAGAAAGGGAAATCCTCCAACTTCTTGATCATCCTTTCTTGCCAACCTTGTACACTCATTTTGAGACTGACAGGTTTTCATGCTTGGTGATGGAGTTCTGCCCTGGTGGTGACTTGCATACCTTGAGGCAGCGACAGCCAGGGAAGCACTTTTCTGAATATGCAGCAAGGTAAAAGTTGCAACATGGAATGTTCTTGTTCACTGCTTTAACATATATGGTCCATTTACTAGTTCCTTTGGTAAGTTGGATATGACATGTGTTCTGCTGATGCTAAAGGCTTGGCTTTGCCATCATGACGCCACTTATCCTGTTATAACACAATTCTCTTTTGTTGATTAACTTTACATCCTTTGTGTGTAGTTGTAACTTTCTATTATTTCCTGCAGCCAAACATTCTGATTCGACTTTGCTACTTGAGAACTTTCAAATAATTAGTAGCTATAATCACTGCTTAACATATTTGCTTATTTTGCTTCGTTTATCAGGAATATAAGCTATAATCACAAACTTTTACAGAAAACACAATCTAAAGCCTTTTGAGTCATGATTTTCTAATAAAACCCTTTTTCACAATTGTAGTCACCGAAGTTGCCACTCCTGTGTGAGCTTTTTGAAAAGCAGCCTTTCCAAGTTAAGAAGATACTTATCAACGACCTATGTTAAATACTGTTAGGCAATTCTAAGTTTCTCAAGAATCTCAACAGCACATTCTTTCCTAATTAGTCAGTTACCAGGAGTAAGTTGCTTCACAGTATTTTGATCTACATATGGACATTTAGAAAGTTGTTACATATGTTTTGATTTGTGCAATTTGTGTGTTTAGTATTCAGATTCTCTTAGAGATTGTGGATCTTGATTTTGTTGAAGGCACAGTATTTTTTGATTGAAGCAGTATTTCCACTGGGATGAATGATACATTTTGTTTCTTGTGTCATTGAACAGATTTTATGCTGCGGAAGTACTTCTGGCTCTTGAGTATCTTCACATGCTTGGAGTTGTATACAGAGATCTGAAACCAGAAAATGTACTTGTTCGTGATGATGGGCACATAATGCTTTCTGATTTTGATCTATCGTTAAGGTGCGCTGTCTCACCAACTCTGATAAAATCCTCGTCTTTCGACTCAGATCCTTCCAAGCGGGCAGTGGGCGCTTTTTGTGTCCAACCGTCCTGCATTGAGCCTTCTTCAGTTTGTGTTCAGCCTGCATGCTTCATGCCAAAACTATTCCCACATAAAAGCAAGAAAAAGACAAGGAAACCATGGGCTGAGGCACCAAGGCAGCAGGTAGCCACCCTGCCCGAGCTTGTTGTTGAGCCAACAACTGCTCGATCGATGTCCTTTGTTGGCACACATGAATATTTAGCCCCTGAAATCATCAAAGGTGAAGGCCATGGGAGTGCTGTGGACTGGTGGACGTTTGGTATATTCCTGCACGAGCTCCTTTATGGAAGGACACCGTTTAAGGGCTCAGGCAACCGGGCAACATTGTTCAATGTAGTAGGCCAGCAGCTTAGATTCCCAGACACTCCGTCAACCAGCTATGCAAGCAGAGATTTGATAAGAGGGCTTCTAGTGAAAGAGCCCCAGCATCGGCTGGGCGTGAAGAGGGGGGCTGCAGAGATAAAGCAGCATCCCTTCTTTGAGGGTGTGAATTGGGCGCTGATTAGGTGCAGCACCCCACCGGAGGTGCCACGACCAGTGGAGGCCGAGCTACCAGCTAAGTTTGGGTCGGCCGAAGGATTTGGGACGAGTGGCAAAAGGATTGTGGGAGCAGATGTGAAGTCTGGAGGTAAGTATCTGGACTTTGAGTTCTTTTAGCTTGTAGCTTATTGTTTGATGCCTATGTATCGGTGCTTCATCTATTGAAATCCATCTGTTGCTGTGCTACATGGTGACATATTCTTAACTGTAGCCAAATAGTTCTAGTTTTGTGTTTCAATAGAAAGTTGTTGGTTTCTTGTCTCCATTTTTCCAGTGAACTGGTTCAAATTGCATCTGATGTGCGTCTCTTCGCTGCCTTCGTTCACAGCCTCTGTAAATACCTGTTCACTTCATCAAAGGCTGCTGCACTTTTTTGCATTCAACACAATTGCAAATTGGAAGCAGAAAAATAGGGAAAAAAAGTTTGCATAAATTGCATCGTGACATTTAAATTTATGCTTCGATTTTATTCATCCCTTTCAATATACATTACCATTTTTACTGCCATTATTTAATTCGTGTGCATGGAAATGAGGATTTAGATTTCCATGGCATCTGATTATTTAACTGTTGATTTAGGGCAATGAACTACCAAGGGATCTGTCACTAAATTGTTGTGACCATGTCTAGCTTTTACAATTTGCCAATTAGTTTAGGACATTATGAACTTTCTATCATTTGCATCTCAACCATGGTTTCAGGACAACATCTGTCTGACAGAATTCAGATTCAGATTCAATTCGTGTAGGAAATATCTTGTGCCAGTCATGAGTTGCATTACATTGATTTTTCTCGTCAGCATCTCTATCTTCAATGTGACTAATCGATGGTAATAATAATATGTAAACAGTAAGGATAAATGTAAAGTTACATATCCAGGTATCAGTTCCTGCATCACAAATAAGTTGTTTGCTGAACAACTGCATTGCATATGAGTTGTAAGATGCTGATTAGGTTTTGGAAATAGTGAGAACTTTACATCATTTAAACGTGATCAATAATTTCAAGGTTTCTTTGTTGGACAGTCTCCGTTAGCAGACTTTTCTCGTCTTAAATAGTACTGGCATGATTTGCATTGAAGATACTGCTGAGTCTCAATCATGGAAACTTATACAACAAAGAGCTGTGCACACTGATTGACCCTCCTTAATATCTTGCAACTTATATTTTCATTTTAACTGAGGTTAAAGAATTACCTTTGTTTAAAATATACATCCTTTGTACCTAATTGTAGTTTATGCTGCAAAAACCTAAATATTCTTTTCAGGATTTGCATTGATACTGTTGGTCAAGTTCCAAGTCGTTGCACTGATTCAGCCTCATTGATGTTAGTATTAACTTGCCAGGCAAATTAATGCCGTCCGATTAAATGTTAGTGAGAAAGAATATATATATATATATATATATATATATATATATATATATATATATATATATATATATATA